TCATTTACCTACTCAGATTAAGGGTAAATACACTTAATTTAAGAAAGTTTTACTTATTTCTAGACCATTTTTGTAGTTAATTTTCCTCATTCTGTAACAATATGCTGCTTTTGGGAAGACTAGTTTGACATCTGCCTTATAATAGCGCGCCAAGATGCCCTGCTAATTTCCGTAAGTTTTACCTGGGGTAGGGGGCAGCTCATGCAAGCGCAGCTTAGACTCAGTGCTGGTGAAGATTCTCAGTCATCCAGGTCACAACCATTACAAAAAAGTTAATAAACAAATCTTAGAAAGCTTGGAAAGCTTAGACTTAGACTCAACTTTATTTATCCTTTGGGATTACTCCGTCAGGGAAATTCTGGTTTCAATAGCTTATATAGGGTAGAAAGGGCAGAGTTAAAGCAATGTGCAATTAAGGATAAAAATACAACAGACAATATAAAAAGAGTGTGTATAGTACAAAAAAACATTCAAAAGGTTGTAATGTCCTATGATGGGTTTCCTTTAATTATTAAATCATCTGCACAGTAATGAGCTAAGGGAAGACTACACAGAAGTTCACTTGGATGATTGCACTTCTACTGCAGAGATGTAGTGACCTGTACAGTAAACTTTAATTACATAATTTTTTACCCAATACAGAGATGCTGACTTCAGAAACAACTTTGATTGCAAGCTCTTAGATCTTCAACTCTCCCTCACGCATGCCACTGAGTGCTCTTCCTGACGTTCCCAGTCATTCATAGTAGAAATCAACAAAAATGGCAACCCCGTAGTTCTGGCTAATTAACTTGTCTATAAGAAGAAAAATACCTAAAAGACATAATACAGAAAATCCTTCAACCCTGATCATTTTAATATAAAAATGTCAAATGTACATGTATGGCATATAATAAAATGCAAGCATCATTTCACTATTTTTATCAATGGATTCTGGAAGTCTGAGACTGTATTAGAGTAATTCCTCACAAGAGCCCGGCTGCAGTATCTGTAAAGTAACAATATGGCTGATTGCTTTTCGGAACCAGGGGTAAAACAGTGCATAGATTAAAGGGTTTAGACAAGAATTAATATAAAAAAGAAAAATAACAAATGTTGCATGTGTACTGCTAAAATTAACCTCAATAAGAGAGTAACAGTAATATGGACAAAAACACACAAGATATACAACAATGAGAAGGCCAAGAGTCCTGGCTGCTTTTAAATCAGATTTAGCTATTAAAGGCACTGAATACTGGAGTGTGGAGACTGTAATGTGAGAACGTATAGCACGAGCCTGAGACACAGCCACTACAAATACTTTCACATAGAGTACTATGATGATAGTAACTGGAAATATAAAACTTAAGATAAGATCAAGAGTTCCTATAACATAATTGATGATAAGTGTGCACTCGCCTGTACAAGAATTGCTTCTTCCTGGTTCTATTAGCTCATCTTTTAGATAGAACATGCTGTAGAGAGCATACCACAGCCAACATAAACACACAAGGCATTTAGCTTTTGCTGTAGAGATTCTCGTGGTGTAATGCAGAGGGTCACATATAGCAATATAACGATCTACAGAAATAAGAATAATGTTCCCAATCGAAGCACAGACTACGTGAGTAACTAGGTAACAATACAAAACACACATAATATCACCGAGAAACCAGCAGGCTGTGTTTCTGTACATTTCTAACGGCATCAGCAGCAGACCGACAAGAAAGTCTGACACAGCCAGAGAGAGGAGGAGGATGTTAGTAGGTGTGTGGAGCTGCCTAGAGGAAAATAGGGAAAACATCAGTTACAAATCAAGTTTAATATTCTAGCTACACACAAAAGGAAATCATGATGGATATTAAAATCTACATTTCCAAACTTAAAATGTTGTTTATGTAAGGAATTTAACATCTGCCTGAAATGGGAGATTGAAATGATGATGAGCAGGTTGAGCACAACAGTAACAAATGAGATGAAAGACAGCACAGCGTTTCTGAAGACCACTTCAGACCAGTGAAGCATGGGCTTCCTGCAGGAGCTGTTAAGGAGATGTGGGAAACAGAGCTCAGCTCTGTGTTGGATCTCCATCCTGATCCGTAGTACCATAACAACATCTGTTGAGTGCTTGTTCTTTTTGTAGCATACAAACCCCCACCCCCCACCCCCTTGTGTTCTTTGTTTACTTTGAAGTATAATTGTCACTACTTTTCAGGGTTTGGTTGAGGTTTGAGGACCCAAATGCAGAGGCAGGGAGGCACAGGTGAGTTTTTGTAGATTTAATGAAATGTTCGAAAACAACTGAGGCAGGAATCCAAAAATGCAGCAAGAAAAATGTAAAACAAACCAGAACCATGGAGACATCAGGGGAAAACAATCACCACCAAGGTAAGATGACGTAAGAGGAAGCATAACCATGTAAGATGGAGTTAGACGAGGAACCAGCACTGAGGAACCACACAAGGAGATTATCAATGGGAGACTGAAACAAAGAGAGGACTAACGAGCAGATTGGGAGCAGGTGTAAAGTGAGGAGTTTAGAAAGGAGCTAGGGAAAAAGGAGACCGACACAAGAGGGCAACAAATAAAAACCTAAGAACTGAAAAATAACCAGGAAAACACAACAAAATAATAATTAAACCAATAAAACTAGAAAACATGGAGCAAAGTAAATCTGAATACTCAAAAGAAAACATAACAGAACTAAGACACTACTACTTCCTTAAATATGATAGGTATATAAAGTAGCGGCTGGTGGAGTTTTCACCAGGGGGGTATGAATTCAAAATAAGCATATACCAAACCAATCAAACACATACTAATTTATCACAACAGCATATTTATATGAATGCCAACAAACAAAAATCATTATGAAAACACTTTATAAAAAAACAACACAATTTCATGTACAGGTTTACTTTTTTTCATAAATATTTTCCTTCTGTGGCTTTGTGAAGGCAAATCTGTGTTTTGGATGTGTCATGATTTTATCTAGAGTTCTGACCCACATGCAGAAGACCAAAACAGAGAGACCAGGGAAAAGTTTAACAGGTTTTTATTGAAAGTGAATGGGATGAATCCAGGTCTGCTCTGTACACTGTCGAACCAGAACTGGAAGGTGAAGGGGAAGATATAGCATTGTTTTAGTGATCCTCTAGTTCGTTGGAGGGCGGACAGGGTTTACCCAGATGGCGGTTGTTCCTTGGTGAACGGAGAAGCTGACTGCCACTTAGTTTTCCTGCGGTACTTGAACGGGTTATTGTGGAGATGAATCCCCTGCTCAGAGAGAAGCCCCAAACAATCCTTGGGGAGAAAAGTAGATCCAAACCACAAACTTGAATCCTCAGCTCAGTTTGGTGCTCAGAGAATCCTTCCAGGGGCGAGAAGGTGCAAAACATCCAGTTTGCAGGATGACTTCTTGCCGAGAGGCAAAGACAAAAACAGCAAGGTTAAAACTCAGATTGACTAAAACTCAGTTTGACTCAGCAAAACTCAGCTTGGCTAGAGTACCCAAAACTGGCAAACACTCTGGCGTCAAGGTAGTGGCAGTCGGCAGCTTAAGAGTGCTCCATTAATGAGGTAACCATCCGCAAGTGTGTGAGGAGGCCAACCAGAACCAGGCACTGCCTGTTGGTGGAGGGAAAACAAACAAAAACACAAACCACACAGACTGGATTCCTAACAGCATGGTCCAATATTGTGTCACAAACCTAAAGAATAATGTATCCTTTTAATAGTGGAGAAGCTAATAGTCAGCTTTATATTTTTTTAATATAAAAACTATTTATTTTCTGAGTCTGTAGAGTGAATGTGTTTTTTTAAGAGCAACTGTGCAAATTAACAAACATTTAGAAAAAGTACACTATATTATATTATTTTCCATGTGAATCCCAGATTATTATTTCTTCTTTGCCTTTTCTAAAAAGTGCTTTAAATCAGTCCTACCTGTCTTTTTCCATGCTGGGTCAGATCCTGACGTTTGTTAAAAGAAGCAGGCAGTTAAGCTGCAAAGTGTTAGCCTCACTGCATGCAGTTAGTCAAGCCACCTATCTAAACCAGTTAATGGAAAACGACCGAGTGTACTGTCTATATACATCTTTGGACTGCTGATTAATTTTGATGTTTGGCTGATC